GGGGCCTTAGGAGGAGGAGGAGTGGACATTGTTTACATCTCTCCTGGGAAGGAATTTTAGCAACAATTTTTTTCTTAAAAAAAAAGTTTATTTTTAATTGTATGTGTGGTGTCTCTTAGCGTGTGTGTGTGTGTGTGTGTGTGTGTGTGTGTGTGTGTGTGTGTGTGTGGTATTTGCACATGAGTGAAGGTGCATGTCTTCTATGGAAGTGGGATGCGCTCTTAACTGCAAAGGCAGCTCTCCAGCCCCTGTACACAGCACATACAGGGGCAGAGCTATTAACTCTAGGTGTGGGGATGTGAAGATGAAAGATGCTAGAGCAGGAAGCCATGAGTAGACTAGAGACCTGCATCTGCATCCACAGAGAGGGCTCCACCACCAGCATCCTGCTTCCTTTTATTACCTTGTTTCTAATCATCAACCTTCCAGTTTCTTTTCTTTGTGCGTGACTTTCCTTCCTTCCATGAAGCCTGAGTGATGTTCTAAGAGACGTCCAGCATAGACTAAGGAGTATGAGTGTATCCCAGAGGCTCGGCTTCTACCCACAGGACTTCTAGGAATGGGCATGTATGAGGATCACAAAGCCTGCCACCAGAAGTTCCCACTCATCACTTGTCCCCACAGGGCTTTATATTCACGAGTACCATTGGAGAACACAGTCCCAGCTCTCTCAGTGGTAAAAAGCATGTTCTCTGGAATTTTAGAAAACCTTACAGTCAAATTCTGGGAAGTAAAATGTTTATCCCTTGTTTGCTGACAGACTATCTTAGGTACAAGTCTGCCATGCTCTCTGGATGCCTCCAATTGATCAACCATTGAGAACTACCTTAAAAAAATTGTGTGTGCACACAGGTTTGTGAATATGGAGGCCAGAGGTGGATGTTAGATATCTTTCTTAATGGGTCTCTATCTTATTTTTTGAGGTAGGTTCTCTCACTGAACCAGGAGCTCACAGATTCAGCTAGACTGGCTAGCCAGCAAGGCCAATGGATCCTTCTTTCTCTGCCTCCCAAGTTCCAGGGCCACAGGCATTCGTGCCATCACTTCCATCTGCTTACATGCCTGCTGGGGATCTGAACTCAATTCCTCATGCTTGGTGGCAAGTGCCTTCCTGGGTCTAATCCCCAGCCCCAAGACATTCCTTTTAAGGTAATAAGAAGCTTTAGCCATTGAGATTTCTATTTCAGTGCAGAGGGAGTGTATGAGACAGGGAGACCCGCCTGGTGCTCAGAGGTTCAAGGGGGATCCTTACACCGTTAGCCCCCAGGCTGGTGTTTTACAGAGGGCATTCGGGCTAATTTGGTATCGCTTTCTCTTTAAGTGTGAAGAACTTGAAAAGAATCAGCTTATTAACTGAAGAATTCCTGAATGGATGAAGACTTGAGTGGGAGGTGTCAGCTGAAAAGATGTAACTGGGTGTCCGTGGTCCATCTGTGTGCTTCGAGGGAAGTTGTGACTGAGAAGATACATGGAAAGGTGGACGAAATGGCACTGAACTGCTACTCTGGGCATCAGATCCCATGTTACCTAAACATCAGATCTGTGCACGTTGGGAGAGGGAACTGTTATATCATTCTCCGTATGGCCAAGGATCCTTATTTTTCCCATGGCTGTAACAAATGGCCATACTGAAAATAAAAGACATGACTGGGGAGATGGCCCAGAGAGAAAAGCGCTTGCCACACAAGCCTGGCAACCTGAGGCCAGTCTTCAGAACCCAAGTGAAAAGCTGGATGCATGCCATGCTGCTCTGATCCCAGGACCCCCATGTTGAGATGGGAGACAAAGACAGGAGAATCAGGTAGAAGCTTGCAGCCCGGTTATCCCCAGAGTACAGAAACAATCAGCTAGTGAGAACCCACTCCTCCAACATTGTCCTCTGACCTGTAGGCACATGCTGAGGCTTGCATATACACTAATAAAAAAAGGAAATTTAATATCTCACAGATGGAGAGGGAGGAAATTTAGAAGGTGTCCATTGGGCTGGTTCTGCTGGAAGCTGTAGTAGAGAAGATGCATTCTTTCTCAGCTGAACTTCCTTCCTTGACCCGTGACCCCCTTCCTTCACCCTCCAAACCAGCAATGAAGTATCCACCAACCTGCAACCTTAGCTTTCCTCATCACATCTCCCCTCACTCTGACCCTCCTGCCTCCCTCTTATACTTTTGTGATTCCATTGAGTAACTGATCTTAACAGTCCTTGATTTAAGCACATCTGCACAAGGAAACACATTCACAAGTTACAGGGAGTAGGACATGGACATCTTTAGGGGGTTGCATTCCACCTACACACCAGTGTTGCATTATTATTTCTGTTATTTCTGTTGCCATGGTGACTTCGGGGGTGGTATTGTTGCACCAGTCAACTGTATCAATGACATTTGTTTCTCTCATGGCTTGCATTTCTCTGCCCAGTTTCCTGGATTATGCAGAGCTGGGTGAACATTAATTGTCAGACCTGGGCCTACCCTGTGGATTGCGGTCAGCACAATGTCTTGTTTATAGCTAAGAAAACAAAGAGATACAGTCGATGTCAGGACTCTGTCTTTGTTCATTTACGTCGGATATAAAAGTTAGAACATGAGGGTATCTAAGAGATGGTGTGAGTCAATCTTCTTCATCTATGTGTGAAGACAATAAGGTACAGAAGGGAACATGGAGGAGGGAAGAGGGAGAGAAGCCTGTGGGAAGAAAGGTCTGCATGGAGTGTAGCTCTGTGTAGAGGCGAAGCTCCTAAGGCTAGCCATGGACACCTGCTAGGTAGTGACAAGCAGATGAGCATTTCTTTCCTAGTTCTTTTCTTGTGGCATCCCAGAGACTGGGACTGTGTTGGGGAAGCCTCTGTCAGGGGCTGTTGGCTATGTAAGCTCGGCATTTGCCCCCATGACATTGGGTTGATGACGGGACATTTTTAAAAAGCACAAGAAAAATAAGAGGTTTCCATAGTTTGCTGATCTGAGGTAACAGCTGTTTACTGCTGATTTTTTTTAAATGACAGAATGGGGTGATTGGATTTAAAAATAAGGATGAAGACATTGTTTTCTTAGTCTCAGAAACATGATCTAAAGAATATAACTGAAGTGTGGGGGGAAAGTCTGTCCTAGGCTTTAGTTTAATTTCTGTTTTGTTTTGAGACAAGATCTGGCTGCATGGCCTGATTTCTGATTCTCCTGCCTCTGCCTCCTGTATGTTGGAGTCACAAGCATTTACCATCATGTTTGGCTACTGTTGCATTAAAAAAATTTCCTCCAAAAAATTTTTCCTCCAAAGTTTATAGAGATTGCAGGACACTAGATATCTTAAGTCCTTCAAAAAGGGCAAAAAGAATTTGATATATATTTTTTTTTTGGTTTTTTGAGACAGGGTTTCTCTGTGTAGCTTTGCGCCTCTCCTGGAACTCACTTGGTAGCCCAGGCTGGCCTCGAACTCACAGAGATCCACCTGGCTCTGCCTCCTGAGTGCTGGGATTAAAGACGTGCGCCACCACCGCCCGGCAGAATTTGATATTTTTCAAACCCCTAAAAGTGCAGAGAAATTCAAGGTTAGTTGTAAAGCAGAAGAGTGCTCAGGGTGCAGAGGGAGGGCACTGAATGGGCGCAACAGAAACCCAGTGTGTTAAACAAGTCCCTTGGTTTTCCTGAGGATGGCCACCTAGCCCCTGCCTGTCTAGGATTGCAGATCCAGACTGGTCGCTTGATTGACCCACAGCAGACAAGCACTCGGGCATGGGGTAACTATGGAAACCCAGCATCTGGGCCAAACCTGGTGTAGAAGGAAGAACTAAGGGGGTGTCCTGCCCACCTGCCTCAGGCCTTTGCTGTTGGGGTTCGCTGTTCCCACAGGCCTGACTTGCTGATTTGTGGCTTTTTTTTTTTTTATGGGATCTGCTAGTTTCTCCCATAAACCACATCAGGCTGTGCATTGTTCTGGTTCCTGTGAGGTAATTCACTCATCAGCATACTTTTTAGTGTGGAAATGTTTAGGGAGATGATAAACTAAGTAGAGGTTATGTGTTTGGTTTATTGGTTGTAGTATTAAGGCAATTCTACATAGTTAAAAGGGAGGTTTATTTTGTGGGGTAACTTGCAAGTAAAGGGATAGGTTATAGGGTCCAGGAAAGGTGTAGTGCAGTCCAGCAGTGTTCTCTGGAGAACTCTGCTCGGTCTTCCTTCAGTGTCCAGGATCCAGGAACCAAGAGAGCCAGCACATCTGGATCTCAGGTCTTAAGGGCTCCTGTCTCGGCCCCACTTCATAGGTGTGACAGTTACCGGAAGCCTCAATGGGGGTAGTGCTTCCAGGTCAAAGCTGAAACAGTTACTCACTACACGGGTTTGACTTGGAGAACCGTGGACATTTTGCTTTTCCATAGCCTTGCTAACACCACAGCAAGTGGGGATGGAAGCAGAAGCAGGAGAGATGATATGATGGTGAAAGGATTTTTTTTGGTGGGGAGTGGGGTCAACTTGACACCAGTTGGTGTCATTTAGGAAGAGGGAGCCTCAGTTAAGGAAATATCTACATTGGGCTTTTTCTGAGGGCAGGTCTAAGGGGGCATTTTCTTGATTTCAAAATTAATGTGGGAGGGCCCAGCCCACTTTGGGTGGTACCATTCCTGGGGCATCTGGGGTATATAAGAAAGCAAATGGAGCCACCCATGAGGAACAGGCTAGCAAGCATTGTTCCTCCATGGTCTCAGTCCACTTCAATTCCTGCCTCCAGGTTCTGGCCCTGAGTTCTTGCTCTGATTTTCCTCAGTGGTGGACCATGACTTGGAAGTATAAGCCAAATAAACCTTTTCCTTCTCAAAATGCTTTTCATCACAATATTTTATCATAGCAACAGAAACAAAGCTCTTGTGACACAGAACTCCTGTGAGACACACTGGAGACCGTGGGGGAGTTGGAGGATATGGACATAGTGAATGCCGAAGTCAGCCTCTGACCATGGTCCTAAGCACCTGCAACACAGAAGCTGCCATCACGAGAAGACCAGGCCAGGCTTCAGGTCTGGCTGGCTAGTCACGTGACAAGGATATAGCCCACTTCCTCAGAAGTTGCACAGGGGACGGTGGCAGCAGTGAGAAGAGCGGATTTCGTAATGCTTTACGACCCTCTTGAAGCACTCCGATCTGTCCTCAGTGCAGCCTTTAATTGAAAACCACTGGATTCCACCTGAAGAAAGAAAAGATGCTGAGGTGGGTGGGGCTTTAGGAAGGTGCCACCCACCTGGCCTTGCGTGCTTCCTGCAGTAAACAAGTAAAAATAAAAGACAAATGAAATCTCCAGCTTAGACACGAATCTAGACTTCCTACACCAGGAATGGCTTCCTCATCTCACTTTTAAGAACTCCCAGGTAAACTGAGCTGCGCACTTTGTAGTACACATGCTTTGGAGCTATAAAACAACCACAGCTTTCTGCTTACGACTGCTATTGTCTAGACATGCTGACTGTGTTAGCTGTGGGGGGCTTGCTCATAACCACTCCCCAGCATCACTCCGGTCTGTAACTTAATCAAAAGGCTGGATCTGCACAAGTTATTCTAGTGCTTCCTAGACATGAAATCTTATCATACATCACTCCACTATTTTTCTGGCTTGGGTTTGCTTATTTTTTTGTTTTGAGACAGGGCCTTGCTATGCAAGGGAGGTTGCCCTTCAGTTCTCAATCCTCCAGCTTCAACCTTTTGGGTTTTGGGATTGCAAGTGTGTACCACCATACCTGGCCTTTCCCCCTTGGTTAAATCACAGTATAACACCTGCAAATGGACAAAGTGAAAAGCAAATTCCAGTTGTCCCCTAGTTCTACTGCCCGAAGCTTCAGATGTGTCAAGAAGACTAATGAGCATTCCCAGAGCAACAAAGACAAAAGGGATTTCTCAGCCAGAGATTGGTTTTGCTTCCCTAAGCCCAGGATGTAAGTTATCGCTCAGAGATTTCTGCTATCACAGTTGGGTAGGGCAGCAGGGTGCATCTGTTCTGGGCATCTAGGAAGAAAGGCTAGGGATGTTTCTATATTCTCCATCATAATGAAAGATGTTCCTGTGTTACTCACCACCCTGTCCTGTGACAAAACACCTGAGGTAAATTGAAAAGAGCAAAGGTTTGTTTTAGCTCACAGTTTCAAAGATCTCAGTCTATGATTTCTTGGCCATGTTGCTTTTTGGCCTGTAGTAAGTAATATGACCGTAAAGGGAGAACATGGCCAAGGAAGCCACACACTTCATGGTGTCCAGGAAACAAAAAGAGCATAAGACTGGGAACTCAGTATTCCCTTCAATAGCATGTGCTCTGGGACATAACTAGCTTCTTTCCACTAGGACCCACCTTCTAAAGGTTCCAGCATTTCCCAATAGGGCTAAAGACTGGAGCCCAAGCCTGTAAGACATGGACCTTTGGGGGACATTCGAGATCCAAGCCTTAGCAACTATCCCCCACAACAAAGCATTAATCTTCCACAACTGCCACTATTGGCAATGTTTAGAAGCTGTTGATAAAGCCACATTAAAATGTAACTTTCAATTCTGTTTAACCCATACCAGTGGGAAATGGTAAAATTTCCAAGATACCGAACTCCTCTCACACAGCAAAGCCATTCCAGGTCGTTGATTCACCACAGGCAGTTCTAAGTATTTTTGTAGGCTAGCTTTCAGGCTCTAATCTATGCATAGAATCCCTTACTTCTTAAATTGATGTCAATGTGAATGCCTACATTTCAGGAGTAGAAGAGTGATGTCAGAGAACCAATGTCCTCGACTCTGAGGGGCTTTGGGACCTTTCTCCATCAATAATAGAGAGACTTTGAACAACAAAGTTCAAAGTTACCAGGCAGGTAGGCTGTGAAGATTGACAGAGCCCAGACACTTCTTAATACCAGTCCCCTTGAGGTGGGAATTGTGGCTCTTCCTCTCTCTCGCATAACTTTGATGTCCTCTGATTTTTGTTTTCCTTCCAATTCCATGAAGTTTTGCTTTGCTGATTTCTATTTATATGTAGACTACTATGTCCTACTATGTGCATAAATTTGTAATTGATTTCATCCCATTTGACAAAGGTTGGATATTTGCCCATATTAACAAGTAGATCTAGCACATGCTACATAACAGACAGCGTTGCATGGTTTGGATACAACATAGTCCAACTGCTTTCTGTATGTGAGCATTTAGGCCATTTATTAAAAGATTTCTGCATCTATCTATCTATCTATCTATCTATCTATCTATTTATTTATTTGGTGTATGTATACGTGCAATTCTCCTTTATATAATAAGACATATTTGTTATCAGTCTTTTGGACTAAACATGTTAGGTTTTTTTCTGTACTTCACATTGCCTTGCTTTTGACAAGCAAGGTTAAACTGCTTTTTGGTTTGTTTCCATGTTGATATTTTCTGTGCCAAGAATTGCCTTCATGTTTTATTTTTTCCTGATAGTTTGGTGTGTGTGTGTGTGTGTGTGTGTGTGTGTGTGTGTGTGTGTGTGTGTGTCTGTGCATGTATGTGTGGAGCTCGGAGGTTGACGTCAGGTATCTTTCCTCAATCTCTCTCTATCTTAGTTTGGGATGCTGGGCTTAGAGTTCATTGATTCAGCCAGGTTGGCTGGCTAGTGAGTTTCATGGATCTGCCTGACTTTGACCCCAGTGGGATACAGGCACACACAACCAGGTCTGTCTTTTTTACTTGGATTCCTGGGGTCTGAATTTATTTCTCCATGCACTTGACTGAGCCATCTACCAAGTCCCTAGCTCATCTTTTAAAAAGGGATTTTCAGAAATTCTGTATTTTTCTGGATAGGTAATAATGTTTTTCTGTAATCTATTTCTTTTTATTATTTCCAGCTAATTGTCTTTTACATTTACTTATCATTTACCATTATCATGATTTTATGAATTATAAAATATGGACACATTCAAATCAATTATGTTTTTTTATGACTTTTGGGTTTTGAATGTTAAGGGGCCTCCTCTTTTTCAAACTTGAAATGTGTTCACCAGCATTTTCTTCTAATCCTGTCAGCATTTGTTTCTTGTGTTTAACATGAAATCTGGGCAGTTGCAAAGGAGCCTGCATTTAGAAAACTCTGCAAATAATCTATTAGTGTTTTCTGAGATGTGAATGCTGTCAATGAGGCTACATATAGATTTATTAATATTTTGGGGGTCAAAGTACTTGTGTTTGAATCTTGGCTACCATACTCATTTACCAGTAACTATTTAAAAATTATTTAACCATTTTGTGCCTACAATTTTTCATTAAAAAAAATGGAGATAATGGAGAGATGACCCAGAGATCTGGCAGAATACCCAGGTTGGGTCCCTAGGGCTCACAGGGTGACCCACAACCTGTAACTTCAATTCTAGAGGATCCAATGCCCTCTTCTGGCCTTCAGAAGCTCTTGCAAACACATAATGTACATAAACCTATATGTGCACACACATATACATGTATGAATAGTATATAAATACATCTTTAAAATGGGATAATGAGCTATGGACATAGCTCAGTAGTTGGGGAGTTGCCATGTGTGTAGACTTGGTTTCAATCTCTAGCACTCAAAACATAAGAAAAGTGAGTGAGGTGTTTGAGGTAGGGAGATTAGTAATGGGATCCATCCAGGTCATATTATTGCATGACTAGAATAATGTAGTCCTGGCCAAACCCTCGTTACAACAGTGGGCATACAGCCGGTGTTAGTAGATGATATATGGATTGTCTCCGCACTTATAAAGATCAAGACTCACCTTTAGCAAAGCTCTCTTTTATACAAAACTGACCAGGCTTTGTTCTACAGGTTCCAAGGTTTAACAGACATCCATGGAATGGGATGGAGAGATTGCATGACCTGCAAATCACACCTCCAACATCTCCGAGTACAGCAAAGAAGGGGGAAATTGTGATGGAAATCAGAAAGAATAAACAGAGCAAAGGGAGAGGGAGAAGGAGAGAGGGACCCAAAAATATTAGTGATTTTCATCTTTAAAGAATAAGCAATGCTTAAAAGATTGATTATACAAACCCACATAAATTGAGATGATTTCATTTTGAGAATTTAATAAGGGAAATTTCAAAGCATGTGCTACATTAATGAATCAGAAGCACCCTGAACTGACAGGAATCAGAAATGAGGATACTTTCTTGGTGCCTAATTAAAACATCAGTTACACCAGCCACATACCCCCAGCTAGGTCTTCATTTCTAAGCCTAGGATAGTATGTTATACACCTGAATATTCATTACTTGATTAGTGCATATTTATTGGTTGTCTTTAGTACTCAAATTCAGTTGTTGTTCAATAGTATTGCTCATTTGATTATGTAAAACTAGTTCAGAGATTTTTGGACTTAGGCAGCATCTAGAATATTAGTTCCCAGTTTCCGAGTGCATCAGATGGAGGTAAGTATCTAAAATAGATTTCTATGTACCCGGAAGACTTGAATTAGAATGCATGGGAAGTGTAGTCCACGAATCTGTATTTCAGATGTGCTGCGCTAGTTGATGACATAGAACTTGGACGCAGATGTCTAGACTGGTGCTGGAGAATAAGGCCTTTCAGTTCAGGAATCTTCTGTGATGACTCCTACAGGGAGCCTTGGCCAATGACAGAAAGCTTGTTACTGTTAAGAATGACCCAGACAGTTCAAAGACTCAAAAACTGGGCCAAAATTTGTCCTAGTGTTCATACTTTCCCTCTTAACTTTTCCTTCCTTCCTTCCTTCCTTCCTTCCTTCCTTCCTTCCTTCCTTTCTTTCTTTTTGTTTTTCATTTTTTCCCCCCAATAGGATCTCACTGTGTAGCCTTGGCAGGTCTGGAATGTGCTCTGTAGATCAGGATGGCCTTGAACTTGGAGACCTTGTTGCCTCTGCCTCCTGAGTTCTGGGATTGAAGGCATGCATCACCATACCTGGCATTTCTCTATCTTTTAATATATAATCACCACTGCCATGTTACTTTTTTTTACTATAATTCATATAATAACTTACTAGACATATGGTGCAATGTGTTTTTTATCTTTCTTTGCTACAACCAAGGCGACTTTCAATAGAAAATAGTCTGGGTAATGAGACCCTTTAGTCAGATCAATTAAAAATATATTTTTGTGTGGAAATGCATGCAATAATGACTGAAGCCATGAATTTGAAGGAGAAATGGGGTGAGTATATGGAAGGGTGCAGAGGGAGGGAAGGGAAAATGTTGTAATTAAAATAGAGTCTCAAAAATCAAAAACAACAACAATGAAGAGTGGGGTTATGCCTAGGAATCTGCTAAGCAATTTAGATGCATTAGCCCAATCATTTAAAAATAAATATGCTTCAGCCAGGAATTATATTTTCCAGTATTTCTCCCAAAACAAATCTTAATAGCTTTCCTAAGTGGAAGAGATGGAGAAACAAAAGCTTTTTTGAAACCTTAGCCTGGTTCTTGGCAGTAACTCTGAGGTCCCGAAGCTGCCAGACTTTCATGTGCCCCAGGCCTTCCCTCACCTCCTCCTGCTAAAGATCTTGGTTCTTCCTGGCTGGGGGTCAGCTGCTGCCTGGGTTACTGGGCCAGCTGCTTCTCAGGGAATCCCCAAGGGAGCTTTTTTCTTGGGTTTATCATCACCCAGTCTTCCAGCCAGCTCTTAGAGACCCCCTTCATTACTCAGACCTTTTTTAAAAGCACAGGAGGACTGAGGCAGGAACTTTCATGAATACCAACAAGAACACTTCTTTTGATGCTGACTTTTATTCATTGGTTCTCACATCTTCCTTTATGTACAGAAAAAGTAATACAATCTTCTGAATTATTTAAAAATGTAGATTTTTTATTATTAATATTTAATTAGCACACAAAGACATGGGTTTCATTATGACATTTTTATATATGTATATAAATGTTCATATTCACATCTTCACTACCTCCCTTATCCCCCACCTCTTCTACCTGGTCCCCTTCTTCATAAATGATCTCCTTTCTCTCTCTGTCTCTGTCTCTCTCTCTCTCACACCCCCCACACATACACATACGAGTGTAAAAATCTAGAATCCAAATATGAAGAAATATAAGCTATTTGTTTTGGGTCTGGCTTAATTTTTCTTAACACTATAATCTCTAGCACCATCCTTTTGCTGAATCACTTTTTCATGATATCCAAGTCACTGAAGATGTTTACTCATGCCATTTCACCTTTCATATGCTCCTCTCCTTTCTGGAGGAGATGTATAAGTAGAAGATGCAGCACAGACCTGAGCTGCATCCTGTATTTAATGAGAGAAGTATAGGAAATAGGAGGTCTGTGCTGCATTTCTACTTACACACCTCTTCCATACACTGTTTGCTAATATAGTTCCTTCCTCTATAAAATGAGAAAAACCACCTGATGGGTAGTGAGGAGTAAATGCATTAATACAGATGAGCCTTTAGAATAGAATCAGCTCACCAACTGATCTTGTTCTCAGCACCTGGAGGCTTACAGTGTCTCATAGAGAGAGAAGGTAATTAACCCAAGAGGGGGTTTAGGGGCAGCAAGAGAAGGCAGCTTCTGCAACTGGACTTTTCCAGTCACCTCACTTAAGTCCACCCTGCACTCAAGTGTATTCCAGTTCTCTGTTTTCTTAACCAGCTGTCCCTCCATTGAACTCTTGCTTTATCGTCACTTACCACTTAAGAGGCAGGATAAGATCAGAACCTCAGCAATGGCAGTCCTTCTCATGCTTAGATTTGCAGGCCAATGAAAGGTAGAAGGACAGGCAGGTCCAGCCATCACCTCTTCCTGAGGAAGACCGAGGAGCGCATGGTGGCTGTGTAAAGAGAAGGTACTGACTGAACCACTTTTTCTTCTCATTAAGAAAGTATACATACGTTTTGTGAAGGAGGAAAATTTTGAGGCACCCTTCTCTATAAAAATAACTGTAAAGCCATTTCTAGTCCTGGAATTTAGATGTCTCTTTTCCAAACCAATGCCTCGGTCTTGCTTCACTTGTCCCTTATACTGTTGCTTCAGCCATAATATGAAGTGAGGCCAGTGATGCTTGTAGGTTAACGTCTTCAAAAATCCTTCTGTTGTTCGAAGGGAAATGTTCATTTCAGCTCCACAGACTGAAGCTCATCGCAAATGGTCACAGGCGCAGGGGGATGTCACGTGACAGTTGACGGCCGTGCTCATTAAGTTACCAGAGTTGCTAAAATGTGACCAGTCGTCCACACCTACCTTTCTCGTGGCAGTCCGCCTTGTCTAAACTTCTTTAAAAGGTCGGATCACAGTGAAAGCTTCTAGTGAACGAGGTGAGCTGTAACTGAAACCAACAGCCCGATCCTCTAGATTCTAAACAGTTGAAACAGTAAACAATGGCCAAGTAGGAACACAGAGAAACTGCCCTTCACATCCTCATCTGTATGGGGTGCATTCTCCTTCCTCAGGAAACTGTCAGGCTAAGTGAGCCTACTCACTGTAAATTGGCCTGACACTTACGATAGATTATATAGCGTGGACACACACAGCTCTGTGGACCCACCACTTAGTGTAGAAATACTCAGCTTCTCTTTCCTTCTTTTTTTTTTTTTTTTGTTCTTGGTGGGGTTTAAAGCCAGGGTCACACACATACTTATCATATACCTGCCCACTCACCTACACTGGAAATCCCAATTTTGATGTCTCTGGAAAAATACCAAGGAATCTTTAGATCAAAAATTTGATCAAATTACAGAAGCATTTCAAGTTTAAAAATAATGTTTATTCTTTTTTATAATACACGGGTCCAAATCAGTAGATTCTTCTTGAAATAAATGAAAATTTTAAGAACATTAGAGGCTCTTTGCCACCAGACCCCATGCCCTCCTCATATGTAAGTGAGCCCATTATTAGGATGCCACGTATTTCTTAACAAATTCTAGACCATGGTTTATCCAGATGGGCTCCTTCTATGCACATCTTCATCATTTACTTATAGCATGGAACTTCCAGAACTTACAGCACTGGAAGCCATATTGCTTCCAGTGTTGTCTTTATAAAAATAATACACTCTACTTACTTTCCTTTGTACTTCACTCAAACATATAATGATAATCTTCTTAAGTCAATTTTAAAATCTACTTTAAAATTCCCACTGATCTGAATCTTGGAAGCAAGGGAATGAAAAAAAATATGCTGCTGCAGAGTTCATAAAACACACAAATATTGGCTGTATGGCTGAATAATTATCCATCAGCTTTGCATGGGTGAGGGTGGTCACCACTCAGATTAAACATGCAATGTTTTCTCCTGTCTCAGAGGTCTGCTCACAGTCCTTTTTTAATTGTCCCTTCTTCCCCAGAAATAATCCCTATCCATCCTTTTTAAATATTTTTGATTAATGGTACCTGATCTGGAAATGTATAGGTTTATACGGTATATCCTGCTATTGACTGGTACACCATTATTTTGTATCTATCCATCATTCCTAATTCTTCTTATAACAGTGTCCATCCCTACATTCCAAGACACACAGTGGTCACTTTCAGAGGCCTAATACTCTATAATCTTTTTCTTGCTTTCACTAAAAAATATTGTGTGTGGTGTGTGTGTGTGTGTGTGTGTGTGTGTGTGTGTGTGTGTGTGTGTGTGTGTATGTATGTGTGTGTGTGTGTGTAATATGTATTAATAAGGATCTTGAGTCAGAATTAGGAATAATGTGAACCTCATGCAGATTTTGTGGAGATCAAAAAGGAATGACCCAGGGCAAAGAGCTCTCTCTGCACATTGCCTGCTGTGTCATGAAGAGCTGGCTAAGCCTGTTCTATGGGTGTTATGATGGTGACCAGGGGTCAAATGGTTTTTCTGTTACATAAAAATGTGTTGGTACTTCCCTAAGCATGGGAAGTACCTACCCTCTTAGGAGCTAAATGGGCA